AAGCGGCCGGGCTGACGACGGGGGATGGTCGTCGTATCGATCGCGCTAACATCGGGGACCGAGAGCGCCGAGAATCTACGGGTATAAACCGTGATGCAGCCACGGTGACGAGCTATACCCGGCTCGACCGAGAGAGCGAATGACGCGCCGCTGGATCATGGAGAGGACTCGCGATTATATATATATATATATATATATATACCTTATTTCGACGTTATAACGAGAAATTCACGACGTACTTCTCTCTCGTATTATTGATACCTAATTGATTTAACAATGAACAGAAATGCGTATATTACATGAAATTATTCGAATCGCACGTGATCGCTTACTACCGACTGATAGAGAACGCGCATCATTATAGCGAACTTTGAAAGCACGCTCTTGTTCGAATGGCTCTACTCCCCATTCGCGCGTCCTGCGCGAGAGAGGCATAAGGTAACACGCATTGCCGGTCCCGGAAAAAGCCTCATCCGTTTATACGTTCTACAAAGCGCGCAACAAAAGTCAGAGCCGATATCGCACGAACGTTCCCGACGTCGCTCGAAGTTACGACGGTACGGGATGGAGAGGAAGATGATACGAGATGGGACGGCGAGAAAACGGAGAGACAGAGAGGGCACGAGCGAATGAGCATTGAGCAGAGAGATAGAATGTAGCTGTGGGAGAGCAAGGGGACAGGGGGAGGATGACGATGAGAAGGGAAGAGCATTCGACGCGCGATGGATGCAACAGACTAAAAATCTCGGATATTTTCGGCCGCGTTCGGCCACCGTCGGATGTAAAATTTATACAAAAATACAAATGCACGACGAATATTAGCTGCAGCGTTATGTATATTAACCGAGAGAGCCGTCTGCGATAAATTCCCGACTTTGTTCGACGTTGACTGGCGTTACATTCGCGCGACCGCAGCGCCGTAATAATAAAAAAGCTGTAATATTAATCGTAGCAATGGGCCGAATAATTATTCGCCTGGCGACGCAAAATAAAAGAACGGGTGCTAAAATAGCGTTTGCAAAGCTGAGTTAAAAACGAATAATAGGACAAATACATAGATATCCGGCGAATTCGATCAATCTATAGATTTAACGGCAGGGCCGACTGTAAATTCACGGTGACCCCGTATCCGTCAAACCGATTCATCATTAACGAGTAATATCGATTTTATTATTAATTTATGAGTATAATGCAACAAAAACAGAACTAAAATCGAAACATCCCTGATAAAATTCGATATATGTCAGTTTTTTTTTTAATTTATGATGGAAAATTACATTTAGGACTCTTGGTCCCCTGCTATATACTATAGTCATATTAGATCATAACGTCAGAGAGGCAGAATAACCATATGGATATTTTTCCTGCGCCATACGTAAAAATAAATTAGTTTTTTCGCATGTCACAACTCGTATTCGACGAGACAGATTTATGAAACGTGGACTAATATGGATGGCTGTAAACCTTGATTAACTATCATAAAAGATCATAATCCAATATATGACTATAGTAAAAAGCCGGGAGCCTTAATGTAAATTTTACAAACTTTAGATCTAGATTTAACGTTTAGTTTCGACATTGACTAAGTATAGACTTAATCACAATGGGATAAGCAGAAACTTTACTGTCATATCCGAGATATATTGCATGCTACATTATTTATTTATCGCGATGCGCGAAATAGATTAAAAAGTAGGATATTGCAATTACGAATATAATTAGGACTACATTACTCATGAGCCAGCAAGTGCCATTTAAAAACATAATTTAACCAAAAGTTGAAATATTAAGTACATATATTACCTATTCTATTCTACTATGTTGTACAAATATATACAAGATATATCTTAAAATAATTATATAAATTAACTCAAAACAAATTTTTTAAGAAATTAAATGTTTTTTTTAAGATAAATATTTTAAGTAAATATATATTTATAAAAAAGATAAATATGAATTTCAAAGTTATGATTTCGTAAAACATATATTAAATAATATATCTTCACGTGGACGGAATTTATATAATGTTTAGGCACAATGGATATAACATAAAAACAAAATACTAATATCTCCTAAAAATATATTTCTTCATCACAATGTTCTTTTATTGACACAATTTTGCAGCAGACTTAACAGACTAAATGCACTATTTTTTCAGAAATATTTTTCATTGAACTATTTTGAAGATTCCCTGTTTATTTCTAAATTGCTGCGTGTGGTATGTGATTTGCTTTGCGAATTAATTCTTTCGCTATCCTCTGCTTGCGAACTGAAAATATCTGTAAAAATAACAATAATGAAAGCTTTTTATATTTTCTTATGTAAAAAGATTAGAAAAATAGTACTAAAAGTATCTTTAATTTATAAACAACGTTATATTATTTTAACACAAACAATTGCTTATTTTTTAGTTTATCAAGCACTTGTAAAACATGTCTTACATACTTATAAAGATTTATGTAAGTAGAAAAACAATAAAAAATCACTTTTAATAATAAACTATGGTAAAAATTATAATTTATATATAACAAATGTATATATATATATATATATATATATATATATATCCATTATTTTTATTTTTTAGATACATGTGAGATATATCTTTACTATTACAAAATTTACTTCTTATTATTCTTATACCATAATTTTTCTATTTTAAAGGAACTTTAGAATACTGACTCTCAAATATTATATTTCTGATGCAACATTATATTTTCGATTTATAAAACACTTAAAAATTTTAAGTTTTTACACCATAAAAAAACAAAAACATTTACACATTGAGACAACACAAACACTAGATATCATATGTAACATACAAATAATTCATGAATTTCTTTGATAAGATAATAAAGACAAATAATAAAAAATTTGTAAATAATAATAAATAATAATAACTTACGTTGCTTATCAAGATGAAATCTCTTGAACACGTTAGGGATATAAAATTCTCTCTCTCTCTCTCTCTCTCTCTCTCTCTCTCTCTCTCACAGATATACATCCGCCTATCTATAATAAAACGTGCAAAATTATAGTATCACCCAGCAACGTGTAATTTGTCGTAAACGTTTACAATACTTTACAGAATCGAACGTACATGTCAGCCATACCGTAACATGATCCTTCCGTTGGTCGATGAAGTCCTCGTAAGTTTCGCGTCGTCGCTAATTATTCCGCGCCGATGTTATTTCAGATTGATAAAGCAGCGCAATTTGCGGCCATACGTATTCCGTTGAGGCTGCCACATGGCGTCGCGACGCGTTGCCATTTTCATTAACGCGTTACGCCGCCGCCGTCGCCGCCGTCGCCGCCACGAGAGACGAGCATTCGGTACGCCACGAATGTGACAGCCGGACCCGAACGCTTCGGTTAAGGTCGAGCGGATTCGGTCCCCCTCGGATTTAAATATCGGCCGGAAATAGGACCTCCGTTCATCTCGCGCAGCATCGTGGAAAGCGGGTAGTAGGGGCTGCGGGAGGAGGTCCTTTCGATCCTTTCTCAAGCAGGATTGCGTTGCAGACTGGCAGAATTACTATAACAAAGCAGCGTTTCTGTATTAAATAGATTAATCTTGTATTAGACTTGCTTTCGTAATTTCAATTTGTTTTTCGATAAAATATGACTGACGCAAATTTAATATGACTGACATCCTTTAAAAACATGTACCTACAAATTGTGCTAAATTATATTTCATATAAATTATACGGATTCTTTAATTAATATGGAATTCTTTTTATTGATTTTTCAACATTTTTCAACGAAACGGTCAAACGAAAAAATCAAAAGTTTTGAAACAAGCGATTGGAAACAAAAAATATTTCAAATAAAATAAACTTTAGAAATGCAAATATATAACGAGATAGATATTACTTATCTAATTAAAAAAGTCAAAGAGAATGAATCTTTTATTTAAGAATTATGTAAAAAATATTGAAAATTTATGACAATAACTTCTCTTAACGTTGCCACTCATTTTAATTAGTCAGAAACTCTGATAGATGAATTATTTGATTTAGAGTCATTCCATATAGTAATCATGGTGAATATGAAACAAATGGAATATCGACCACAATATTTAAAATTGTGGTAAAAATGTGAAAGCAGCAACAGTTTAATATAAAATATGTAGGCAATAAAAACATTAAAAACGGTTTTGTATTTGATCTCTTTTTAATAATTGACAGCGCTTATCTATTGATATTTTCGCAAAAATAAATTTCAAAATAGTTTATACAAAACATTATTCGTAAAAAATACAGCAGCAAAAATAATAGCGCTTGTTAGTGATAGAATCCTGATGGACGATAAAATCGATTGAAAAAAGAAGACGTGAAAGAAAATTAAAGAAAGACTGTATATTCCTTCGATCAATTTGACCGTAAACTTTTGATATATTTTACTAAATTAAAAATCTATTAAAATATAAGAAAGAAAAGACATGAAAATAAGAATGATAACAAAAAATTAAATTGTATTCAAAAAGAAACATTAATTAATTATTTGATGAATAACGACTTTTCGCGCAAGACCTGAAACTAAAAATACTTATAGGTATTTCCAGCAAAAATAGTATAATTAAAAAACAAGCGTATAATAGCAACACACAATATAGTATAATATATAGTGTGTGTGTGTGTGTGTGTGTGTGTGTGTGTGTGTGTGTGTGTGTGTGTGTGTATGTACTATATGCAATATATACACTAAAAAAATTTCTGGTTGAAAATGGACGAATCAGAATTTTCTAATTAAATTAAATTTATTAGAATTCTAGTTGAGATAACTGAAACTCTAATTGATACAATATATTAGCATCTACCAGAATTCTTATTTTATCAGAATAATTATATCAATCAGAATATTAGTTACCTCAACTAGAATTCTAGTAGGTTTAACCAGAAAATTCTGATTCGTCCATTTCCCACCAGAATCATGTAATATTTAATCCAACCAGACTGTTTTTCTCAGTAAGCTTAAAAAAATCAATAAATATTTCTCGCGCGCGATATTATTTCACGGAGACTTTCATGTAAGTGTATTATAGATACAAGTCTAAAGATTGATTGTTTTCATTAATTTCTACATAAACCATATTGTGTGAATAACTTGCCGCGTTCACTCATCGTTGATGAAATTGGAATCAGGAATATTGGGAGAAATGTCGCGGATAGACGAATAATACTAGTATATTTAGGTGTACCAGTTGCAACACATTACACACGTACTTAATAATAGATACATCTCGCAAATATCCGGATATAAGATAGTTGGTGATACAGCGGCGATCGCTAGAAACCGTGCGAGCGTGACTGTACAGGTTCCTCAGGTATGTACGAGCCAGGTGGAAACGTACTTGCGAAGGTAAACGGGATCTCTTCACGCTCGACCTCGTCCCAACTTCGATTCGCGACCAACGATCGACCAATGATCGACGAGAGTCCACCCGCGAATTATCGCGTGTTCGCGTACGTAAGGCTGCGCGGCGAATTTATTCGCGTACGCGACACTATTGTTGCTGCGCCACAATTACGTCGGAAATCTATCGCGAAGCGAGTTACTGCGAGATGCACGCGCTCTGCGGTTAATCCTGGACTACTACGGGGGATGTTTACGAACTCGAACCGACGGCTTCATTTGCAAATTCTTTACCTAATTTAGAACTGATTATTTCTTTACGTAAATCGGGAGAGATATAAATAATTATAGTAAAATGTCAACAAATTATATAAATAAATTTGATATTTAATTTCAAACGGAACTTGTATGCTTTCAAGTAGCATATGATGTACATTAGCAAGAGTGATATAAAGTAATGAAGAAAGTGAGGAAAAAATAATTTTCTATCCAAGAGAAAGTTTCATATACTGTTCGCAATGTTCGCAGACACGTTGTATTGAAAGAAAGACTTACTTTTACGCGCGCGATCATAAAATTTACGAATAAATCCTGCATAGAGATTCCCCCCATGAGCTTAGCTATTAGATCCTTCGATACAAATGCTTGCGATACGAATCTTCGAAAGCAAGTTAACGGCAGGCGTTATTAGCGCGACAAGGTGAAACCCAGGGGCAGAAATGTCTATTGATTTTTCGAAGAAAACTCGGCATCCCTTCTCTCTCTTGGATCCGCCGCCGCTAACCTACATTCGAGTTATAACAGCGGTACGAAGTCTGATAAAATGCGTCCGATAATGAGACCCGCGGCGAATCACGCCGATAACAACTCGTTATTTTTTCTTTACAGAAAAACAGATTTGCCGATTTTTCACGTCTGAATTTTGTTTTCTCGCAAAATTATATTCTCAGATCGGTGTCGCGAATCGATCTCGACGTTGCGATACCGATACTCGTGGCATCGCCGATTTTCGCCGATCGTGTTCGAATTTCGATGGTTCCGATGGGCAATGTTGGGCAACGTGGCACCATTTAAATGTTCCCGTTTCCGAGGATGAACACGCCAGGATACCGAGCAACGAAGAGGGCGACTCGGTCGCAACCCCCCATTCGCACTCGCGCCGAGGGGGATCGATCCGCGTTCACTCTGCGCACCTACCCCTGCGGCAAAACCCAAATCCGAACCCCGCTCGAAGAGCAGGAGCAACGCCGGCTAAAATCGTCCAGCGTTTTTAGCCGGGGTAAATTTTCGATGCCACACTGGTTAAGCATGGTGATCTATGCGATTCTCTCCCTACTCGCGCTTTTTATCGAGAACTGAAACTGATAGAAACCGACATAGCTTCAATGAAGTCCGACTCGGTACGGGAAAATGGTCCCTTTATTCCAACAATGGGCACGCAAAGATTATATCCCAATACCGATTTCTGTTTCTGTAAAAGAGTATCATTACACCGAAACTAATAAATTACACTGTACTACAATCTTCATTCATTAGAGCAAAATTATCCCCGCTGGTGCAATCTAACTTCACCTTACGATATTGCAAGAGCGCTATTAGTAAAACGACATTACCCTCTCTTGGGACCACAGTCATCAAAAAAAAGTAACGGACTGTGGCGACTATGGCGTAATTATATAATGTGATAAAATATTGCGTAGCTAGTCTACTTTGAACATGTTGCTTCTAATAGATTCGTCGATAAGGAAAAATTGTTTTATGGTATCAATTAAAGCGAATTAATTATTGTCAGATGAAATTCAGAATGAGAGAAATCGCGAGAGGTTTTGGTTAGCTAACTTTGGACGCACGATGGGTATATTATAAATTTCTGTGCGGATAAACCGCGAGTTCCGGCGCACACGCGCACCTCGGTCATTCCTGGAGAGTGCATCTGGTGGTCCACCGCCACCTTCGAATATTCGAGATGGAAAATTTACAATCGAGTTCGCGGAGAGTTGAAGATACGCAGAAGGCTGTACGGTTCAGTAAGGGCGTACGATCGATACGGAAAAGTTCCTCGAAATCCTGAGTAAAGCTTCGTTCGCCTCGTGCTATTTCGTGTAATCGCGATCGTCTGATCGGCCGGGGATTCATTCTGGTCCTATACGTAATTTCCTACGATCCTATGATCGTTCAAAATGAAAGTCATCTCGATTGGCTTCGTGAAAAACGGGATCGAAATTTGACAAAAAAATAATGCAGCGGCATACCGGTGTACGTTTTAATTTCATTAATTTCTTGTGTTTCAACCATGTCAGCGATGTTTGCCCTTCTCGGAAGCTTTAGGGTTAATTTTCTTGATAAGATGAGAAACCTTTCAACTTAGGGAGCGTTAAAGGAAACGTGGCCTCGCAGGATGTCCATCACGGTCATCTCCAACGGAAAAGATAGGGCGTACGCCCCCTTTCAAAGAAAATGAGATTGATTGGAGGTGATACGATGATAATTTTTTTCGATTGCAATCTATTGATTTTGTTAATTAGATTTTTTATTTACAACATTATTTTTGTCTGCAACAAATGCTCATGCCAATTTCAATATTATTGTAGTATTAGTTAGTATTATGCTTAAATATGTGATAATACAAAGTTAAGACGAATCGATAAATAATTTCATTAACTAAAATCAAAAAAGCTCGAGCAATACAGGCTGCGTCACCAAAATCTGGACAAATCGAACAATTTCTTTAAACAAAATATTTTTAATGAAAAATTAAATATTACAAAATTAAATATCCTTTTACATGGCACTTGAAGGATCCCTGTAAAGCACAATTATTCGATATATCCCCCATTAGTTTGAATGACGGCCTCTATTCTCGATCTGAAACGTTCGCACGCACGTTGTAATCTAGCACTGTCCATGCCGACGAATGCTGTCTCAATAGCGGTCCTTAATGACGTCACATTGAGATGAGACTTATTTGTGACCCTTTCAACTACGTTCCATACGTAGTAGTCCAAGGGATTTAAATCTGGGCTGATGGGAGGCCAGAATGAGAATCGAGGCAAGCAACTCGGTATGTCCTGGTAGCCTCAGAGAGCATCTGTCGTATCTTTAATATATACGATTTGTATCGAAGATCCTCCTCGGCAATTCGACGCGTTGTTGGCTCGCTTACACCAACAATCGATGCTAATTTGCAACGATTGCCCTGGGCCATCCGAAATCAGCGCTTGAACCCTTTCAACGACTGCGGGGGTCCTCGCGATGCGTTCTTTCGAATGACTCTTCCTCGCTAACATACTGGAACTTTCATTGAACTATTATAAAGCTGTATATTTTGCCACAACGTCATAAACGGTTGATCTCGGGTATTCAAAGAATCGAATTATTTCCGTTGCTGGAAATATGCGCCCAGCGCAAAAGCCTTCGATGATCGTGATGACTCTTTGATTATATTCCGCACTTGGTTTCAACATCGCGACCATTTTGAGAATATGACTGTTTACTAGAAGCATCAGGCTTTCTCGGACGCCAACAACAACCTCTGGCGGAGGCACAATATAGCGGAAAATTTAAATTAAAATTTATCTGGATTTTTGGTGACGCATCCTATATATATGCATACATATTATATTTTTTTATTTTATATTACGGTAAGATTTTTAATAAATATCTTCTTTCTTTCTAAAAAATAAAAATAACATTACAATTTTATAAGTTAATATATCAAGAAAATGATATTATAGCATCCGATTTGCATTTTATATAATAACTTGATTAACAATCAATATTTAAATTTAAAACTTAATGATTTATTAAAATGTTGTTTAATTAATTTTAGATTCAAAATTACAACATTTATTATTTAGAACACTATTTACAAAAACGTGGTAACACTGCACAATGCTCGAAGAGAAACAAGAGTGGTAATATGGCCATAAAAGTAGATTTAAAAAATTTATTTATAAAAAAACTGGCACCCTCTAAGCATTGGCAAGATGCCAATATTGTTATTTAACGTTGCATAACTCGTAATGTATACGGCCAAATGAAATGTTAAATAACTAACTACACTCAAATATATTTAAAACAAATGTTCACTATAGTATATTGACATGATGTAAGCTACTGAACAAATAATTCCATAAAATAACGTTAGAATTCGCCACCTAATAGTGGAGATTAGTAAGAGATCATGATCTACCATGATTGGCCATTATGTCATTTTCTTCTTTATTTATAAATATTACTTATAAATATTATTATATTAATTTTGAAAAAAATAAATGAAGTACTGCCCAGTTAAAAAGATAATTTGCAAAATAAATTCTATTTATAAATATGTAGCTGTAGAAGATTTGATTTTTTATAGCACGCGTGTGTCCTGCGTAAACGAATAATTGGGTTAAAGAATAGCGGAACGAACATCCAATTTTGTGTGTTCATTGGACATTCAGTTGTGAGGGATCGCGTAAACGAGAGGACAAGAGAGAACCAACAGGCGATGTAATGGGAGGAGGGTGGTAGAAAGTTGTCGATGATCAAATGATTTTCAGGAATCGCGAACGAATCGAGGGGTTTGTGCGCACGATTCGTGTGCATTTTCGAAATTCCAGCCAGGGAGAGAGCCATTTTACATACGGAATTAACGTTGCGCACGCGTGGCAATATATGCATTCGCTGCGTATAACTATTCCAATCCAAACGAATCGAATAGCTCGAAAGTCCATTCATCGCAGCGTTCATCTCGATATGTGCACTGCTCATGCATCATTGATGCATAAAAATGTACTGGACACGCATTCTTTGCCTTGTGATGTCGGTACCTCTTTTCATCATAACATATTAACAATGCGAGAGAAAATTTTCATTGAAATTCAGAAAATAATGATCAGACATCTTGTGATTATCAATATAAATACGCGATTATCTGCAAATTTTTATATACTAATATAAATAATAAGATGAACGAATGTACAAAAGCAGTATATTAGTTATATCATTTAGAAGATTAACTGGAATAGAAATCGTGTAAATTCGCAGTAACTCGAATTGTACTGCGTATGATTTTTTTATTTCTAAAAATATATATAACAAATTAGATAGATTGATAGTCATCAGATTATCTAAAGATATAACATTTATATAAGGCAACAGAAAATAATGGTTCGTCCACGGCGAAAATAACATTTATAAAAATATGACATACTCGTCCCATCCACTCGTTTCTTCAATTATAACGACGCGCATCGTTTGGTTCCTTCACTTTTCAGAGCGTCGAATATTCCGTATCTCAATATCCAATTTCACTAAGAATTTCTGAGTTATATTTTCACCGAAAAATTAAAAAAAAAAGAGGATAAGGAATAAGAAGAAAATAAATATATTTTAATTAAATAATTTTATTTTGTTACTATCTTTTGAAGATAGCGTCAACATAAAATTAATATTCTATTATATTAACATAAAATTATCATTCCACTAACAAAAGTAAATTTATATAATAACGCGGTACATACAGTTGTAATAAATTTATTAATTCACGCATGTTTTAATATTATGTTATTAAAAAGTTAATCTTTACAGAAACTGGAAAGTCACTTGTATCATAGTTTAAGACAAAAAATACAATGAAACAATGAATTGTAACAATTAAATCCTACTTAAAAAAAACTAAAAAAGCTGTAAAAGATTTTAAAAATAAACCTCTAAAAGAGTTAATGAAACACTTTGGAATTCTTGTTTAATACAAAATATAATAAGAGGTAATATTAATATTTGCGTATCATAATATATGCGATTTATCAAATATTTTTATAGCTTTTTAAAAAACAAAGTTTATATTGACTGATACACGTTAATATTTGCAGTAACAAATATAATGATTCGTAATTTACGCGATTCATAAAAGGCACGTCGCCCAACGGTTCGCGTTGCAGAAAATCTCACGGCTACTGCCGGGTTAACGAGAGAGACCCGTACGGTATGCATCTCAGCGTTATATCTTCGCACTTTGCGCCGTGGGCGTTACAGCGTGTCAATACATTTTTCTCATCGCGTTCCGGTTTGTCCGCATTTCGCGTATAATCAGCGCAGCATCAAGCACTGCGTCGGTATCGCAGTCCGTTGGCATTACGGTTAGTCGGTATCCGCGTACGTCTGGTCGGTACTACAGAGCGTCGATAATAGGCCATCCTCGCTTTTATCCATCGGAATTGCGCCCGTCGATAATTCGTAAGGGATGAAAGGCGGGAAATGGAAGAAGGAAGGATGAAGAAGAAGATGACAGGGTAGAGAGGCCGATAGGAGTGGATTGGGCCAGGACGTAGGTGATAGCGGAGGATGACGCGGGCGGGTCGGAAGAACGAGGGAGGATAGGGTGAGTGGATACAGGGTAGGGGCAGAACGCGCACTCTTGTGGAGGAGGACGAGTGAGCGAAGTGGTATGTGGAAGGGTTCGAGTGGCAGGTGGGAGGGAAAGCGAGAGATGAAGGTGGGAGATGAGAGAGAGAGAGAGAATGGGGAGATGGAGCTAGTCCGAGAGAGGAGGGGAAGTGGGGTGTGGGTTGGACGATGTCATTTTAGATATTCGATGGAACCTGCACTGTGCGAGCACGTTGGTAATACTGCACACACAGACGGTGCAATAAAGAAGATGATGTCTCGGAGAAGAGTAGGAATTATACGCGGTTGACGCGCGGGAGATTGGTTCTGTGACTTCTAATTCTGATTACAAGAGTAGAGGGCAACTTGTTATTTGATATCTGCTACACTACATTAATGCACGCAAAAATGACAATTGTCGCAGGAAACCTATTGGAACCCCAACGTTGTTCAGTCTTAGTCACCCCTTCTCAAAGTTTGCTCCTCTATCTATGTTATGTCAGGAAACTGCAATTTAGAAAGAGTCAGAGAATTCCTAAGCAAAATTAGCTAAGCGAGATTCGCTCGAGCTTGTTACGCGACCACAAAAATCATAGCTTGTCGAAACCTATGGAAATCAATCGTACCAAGATTTGTCCTCATCTAAATAAATCCTTTTTCTATATTTCCACCAAAGATTATATTATACTTCACAAACAGACATAAAATTGCTAATTGAGACTGATTAAACTGTAGATAAAAGTTAAATTTAAACCATATACACAATTTCCTAATAAAAATTTGTAAGAACTCTGTATATAGCAGAAAAAAATGATTCTGATAAATTTAACACTATTATTAAAAATGAATGAAAGTTTTTTTATCGCTTATAAGAGAAGAAATTTTCATAACGGAATTGTAAATATTGCAAGATCTCGAAAACATCCCTCGCGCATTCAAGAAGAATTAATCATCTAAAAGCAGGACGTTAAAATAAACTTTATAAATCTTGTTGTCCAAGTCTTGATATAATTACTATATAATCGTTTGAGATTCCTGCGAATTTTTCTCGGTACACACACGATACATATTCGTAAGCGCGTATTTGCGCAATGTAACGTATACATACGATCGCAATGGAAGAAAGCACTTAACTGATTTATCCTACGCAAACACCGCTTTGCTGCATACACTGCGAACGGGATGAATAGCGCAACGATATATCGTCTAATTGACTTGATGTATATTGTTGTTCGGTAAACCGAGATTCATCAACCCCGAGTTTTCATACTTCACGAGCAACGAGTAGCAACTTTAGAAAGATAAATATTCCATGTAAAGACAAGTTTATCCCTATCCGAAGAAAAGAAGAAACGCTTCGAAATTCCATCGAGATGTTCTTATAATATTTACTCTCGACTGTTTGCCTCGCGTTTGTTGCACGCTACTAATATCATGAAAAAACGCCGCAGCGTTTTGAGTCCAAGCGTATTTGAATCCTAGAATAAGATTTACCAGAAATTTTGCAAAACTATTATGGTTGTTTAAAGAGACAGATCTCGTAAATCGATAGCTTTCATCGGTGGACCTTCGTCCACCACGTTGGTGCACCATCGCGTCGGTCACGCGACATGAATTACAGTTCGGCGTGATGTATTAATGATTCTTAGTTGTTCGCACCATGCGATCGAACTTAAAAATCGACGAGATGAAATTTACCATAGGTCATGGCGGGTCTTAACCACGCGCTTCTTATTAACGATCCTGCTTTAAAGGGCCACGAGATACGCCTCTTATATATGTGTGACAAATTACACTCACCACAAACTCGGCGCAGCAACAATAATGATCGAAGGCAAAGATTGGAGAGAAATCGAAGAAGAGAGGGAGGAAGAATCGTTTATTGATGTCTTAAGACAAGTAATAAGTATCAGTACATACAAGCAAATGATATATGAGAAAATAATTTATGATAAATTTATGAATATATCAGTACGTTTATTGATTGTCAAATTATAAATTTTTATAATTAAAGATGATTAATTGGAATATGATGAACTACCGCTCTTGTGTTATTTCTTTTAGTTTGTTTAATCCTCTAAATTAACTGTTTCTTATTCTTATCTTAATTCTCAAGAATGAAACTAACGGAAAAATGAATATATATCACTATTTATGAGAGAAACATTCTGTGTTATAATGAATGTCTTCATTTTCGATCATTTGCAAAAGTGAAGAGATTTATGACGCTTAATATATCTTCCTACATATCATTTTCATTTTGAAATCCTCCACATCGTTAGGAAGAAACGTCATCGATTTGTCCGCCGAGCAGTTTCGATCGTCTTGAGTAGGCTGGTGTTCGCAAACATTTCTTGCGGCCGCGTTTCCACATCTGTTTACACGAAGAAATATCCGCGATTGAAAGAGGAAGAAAAAAAAAAAGAGAACTCTCCGTCGAGTTCCTCTCCTTCTCGGTAACTTCTGGTGAGGTTGGAGTATGCCAAACAATCGGCCGTTCGAAAACAATTTCCCGAGCCGATACATATCTCGACGCGATATAGTCTGGTAGGTAGGAAGAGCGACCCTCCGAGTACAAGTACAAGAGAGAGGAGATGCAGAGAGAAAGAGAAGCCCGGGGATTCCGAAAGCACCTCACCTTACCCCGCCGTCCCATGACGGTCGAGACGGCGATAAAAGCGGAGCGGTGGCGGGCGAATCGCACGCGCTCGTAAATAGAGTCGCGGGTCCATTCATGAGTTCGGCCAGCAGCAGCACTGTGGCAGAAGTGGCGGTGCGCTCGTGCGTACACGCCGGAAAAGTCTTTTTCTCGGTGTGTTTTACGGGAGGTCAGGGTTACAGAGGCGGAAAGAGGAACGTGGCAAGGGGTGTGGGAGGAAGAGGAGCAGGAGGAGGTGGAGGCGAGAGTTTTACGTGCTACTACTACTACGAGGATTCACTCTCTTTCTTTCGCTTTGTCTATTTATCTATCTGTCTATTCATCCATTTTTGTCTTCTTTCTACGTAACATGTTCACATGTTCACATGTTAAGAGATCAAATGAATTTCGAGCAATGCGTTGACTATCGCTGGTAATTTTTCGTGCAAACACGTGGATTTATCTCGACTCGGCTAATTAGATCGTTCATCGCGGAATTATTCGGGTAAAATGATGAAAAGTCGAAGGATTTTTATTGGAATAATTATTCTACACAAAATACAGATTTCAATGTACTTTGTACGTTGCATTATCCGTTTAGTTCCGAAATTTTTTGCAGTTTCACCTACGATCATCCGTTATTTCAGGTCCATGAGCTCGGAGATTAATTGATCGAAGAACAATAATACATAATACATAATTATATTGATCTAAATTAAATAAACTTTACAGTAATTACAATAGTAAATATTAAAATGTAGCAAAACACAATTTATCGCACGGTAATAAGAAATTCACTATAATTTTGCGAAATATTTCAGTAGTTTCCTGTGAGAGGAACATAATGTTACAATACTTGCAAAAAGTGCAAACTTTCACGAAATGTTAATATTTAATATTCCTAATTTTACCTGTACAATGCCCAATAAAAATGATGTTTCTGCTCTAAATTAATACGAGTAATAAAAATGGTTGTAATGTCCTTTATAATAATCTTATCTTATTAAAAGTATAAATTGGGAATGTATTAATAATTAATGTTATCTAATGTGCCTATATTCACGAAAAAACTTCACAAAGAACGACACCCGAGGAATTCACCGTTCTTTCAAAAAATACAACAATTGAGTCATACTACTAATTGTGTAAATGAGAAGATACGTCTTTTAAATATTACAGAGAAATATGATCGCTGGATATAAGCGTATCGAATGGCATTAATACTCTCAATTTACATTTCCTATGATACATTATATACGATACATTATACATTTTCGTTAATTTGTATTAAGTATGAAGAGATATTCTGTATACATGTAGAGACTTTTCGTTTATTATTTGTTGAATATTAATATCAAAAAGTAAATAATATAAGAGACAATACATCGATACCAAAAATTTATAGGATCGAGAGATAATTTTCGATATCTCGAAGAATTGTAATCTCTGATTACATGTGTGCGTTAAAGCGTGCTGTCGCACTCATGTTCTCGCAGCTGAGATAGAGTCGGGCTTCAAAACGACTTTATCGCTGATAAAGATAGCCTTATCACCCCCGACGCGCCGATAAGACGTGTCGCATGAAATTGCTGATGTATTCGACTTCCTTTCTCTCTCTACTTTATTAGTAATTAACGATCATCTTAATTTTTAAAATCACTCATGTTATATGTACATAGATCAAAGGTTTCATTCAGGAAGTCCATAATTGATGGTTTAGAATTGAAAATGATAGTTTCGATCAATATTTCTCTCATTCTACATCTCATATAATAGTATCTCCTTGTTACAAGATGACAAAGTGAGAAAGATATTCGTTCGTAAGTAGAGATAACTACTAATGAGACAAGGTTTATCTGGATTCTTCAATCTTGAAGTAACTGTAAGTTC